TTTTAGACTTGAATGAAAATAAATATAAAACATTTCCAAACCTATAAGACACAATGAAGGTAATTCTAAGAGGTAAGTTCATTGAACTAAGGGCCTACATCAAAAACAAAATAAAACAGAAAAACAAAAAAAGCTAGAGAAATATTATATTAGTAACTTAATGAAGCATCTGAAAGTTAAAAAAAATGAGAATAAATAATACCCCAAAAGAATACACAGGAAAAAAAGTAATCCAAGTCAGGATTGACACTAATTAAACAATACAAACAATATTTTAAAAATCAATGAAATAAAAATTTAATTTTTGAGAAAATTAATGACAAATGCTAACCCAAATTAACCTAGCTAGTCATACATAGAAGATCCAAATTTTTAAAATGAGAGGTGAAAAGGAGAACATTACAACAGACATCAAGGAGATTCAGAGAATCAAAGGACATACTTTGAAATCTGTATTCTACGAAACTAGAAAACCAAAAAGAAGTGGGTGAATTTCTTGATATACAAAAGCTACCAAAGTTAAATCAAGATGAAATAAGCAATTTAAACAGATCTATGACCATTGGTGAAATAGAAACAGTAATTAAAAAAAAAATCTCCCAACCAAAAACAGCCCAGGGCTACATGGATGCAGTGTGGAACTGTGCCAGACCTTCAAAGAAGAATTAATGTCAATATTACTCAAATTATTCTCTAAAATAGAAATTGAAGCAACATTTCCTAATTCTTTTTTAAAAGCCACTATTTCCCCGATACCAAAACCACACCAAACAAAAAAAGAGACTTATAGATAAGCATTTCTTCTGAACATAGCTACAGAAATTCTCAATAAAATACTTGCAAACCAAATCTAATAACACATCAAAAAGATGATCAACTTGACTTCATTCCAGAGATGAAGGTATGGCTCAATATATGTAAATCAATAAACTTAATTCACCATGTAAGCAGATTAAATGACAAAAACCATACTATCATCTCATTATATGCTTAAAAGCCCCTGGACAATGTAATATCCCTTCATGATAAAAATCCTGGAGAAATGAGGAATACGAGGGACATACCTCAACATAATAAAGACAATTTGCAGCAAACCCAGCACCAAAATCAAATGAACAGGAGAAACTCATTTCCACCAACTCAGGAACAAAACAAGGATGTCCACTCTCTCTGTACTTATTTGATATGATACTTGAAATAGTTACCTTACAAGGTTGAGAAGGCCGAGGTACAGAGTGTTCTTTGCTTCATATGTGTGAGGTTCCCATGAGGATGTACAATGTGAGTATATGTTGTATTTATGTGATCAATATCATAGATACATATTGCTACACATACATATATATGCACATAATAGGTGTAGTATCTATAAACAGAACATGCAAATGTGTATGCCAATTATATATGTAGGTGGGAGTGTGTGATGTGTGGGTGTATGGTGAGAAATGGTTCCTCTCCTAAGGAATCACAAAGACGAGGAGTATAACTGGTTAGTTCGTTCAGTTTGACACAGATTAGAGTCACCTGGGAAGAGGGAACCTCAATTCAAAAAGTACCTCCATCACATTGGTCTGTGGATATATCTTCGGGGAGTTTTCACGTTTCATGATCATGGGAGGGCATAGCCCATTGTGAGTAGTGCCATCCATGATCAGGTGGTCCTGGGTTCTATTAGAAAGCAAACTGAACAAGCCAGAAAGCAAACAAACTGAGCGAGGCAGAAAGCAGAATTTCTCCATGTTCACTACTTCAGTTCCTTCGTCAAGGTTCTTATCTTGAGATCCTGCTCTGGCTTCTCTAAATGAACTGTTACCTGTAAACTTGATAAACCCCTTTCCTCCCCAACTTGCTTTGGATCAGTGCTTTATCATAGCAGCAGAGAAGTAAACTTAATAGAGCGTTCCTCACGCAGTATTCTCTCTTAGAGCAGAAGATGGGGAAATGAATACTATGAAAGGGAAACTGGTCACACGAAATGAGTCCTAAAATAACTGAAAAGTAGAGATTATAGCAACCTTTTTTTTTTTCTTTTGAACCCTGTAACTTGGGTGCAAGCAATTGGGCAGAGGAAGAAGCCTCAGGGCAGCTGCATCTTTAATGCTAGAGAATGGCTCTCTAGGAACTAGAATCATGCAGATCTCAGGAGGATGAGTGAGAGATGGCAGAAACAAACAAACAAGAAAAAGCAGCAACAGGACCCGAAGTTGGGCTGACAACTTATTCTGCCCTCCCCTCTGAATATGGATCCATTCACATGTAGTTCAGGAAGCAGGCAGCAGGGCCACTTAAAAGAAAATAAGAGGGTATATAAGTCGTGACAGCTAGATTCAATATTACCCTGCAATATCTATTTCCTACCACTGTGGAACAATCTTTGTGCACTGTAAACACGTGTTGCTCTCATTGTTAATAAAAAAAAAAAAAACTGATTGGCCGCTAGCTAGGCAGGATTTGGGAGGCAGAGAGAATGCTGGGGAAAGCGCAAAGTCTGAGAGTCTCCAGCCAGATGCTGAGGAAGCAGGAGCTGTAGAAAATAAGGTTAGAAGTCATGAACCATGTTGTAGAACTTAGATAAGACGTAAGACGAAAGTTTAATTATTCTATATGGTATGCAGCATTTTCTCTAATTTCATTTCAAAATTGTCCTCTATGATAGAACTTAATGAACACCAAGTGGACCATTACAGTGAACAGAACTTTCTGAAGTGTCCTAGAAAGCAGAGCTGTGACATCCACACACCGAGACTGCCCTCTGTGTTCAGTGTTGAATCTTGGCTCTGTCACCTATTTGTCATGGGTCTCTGGGAAGATTACGGATCCTCTGTAAGCTTCATATTGATCACCCATCACCAGAACATAATTATACTTCTCTTGGTGGTGTTGGAGCTCAGTGAATACACTACAAAACAGAAAACAAAGCCTAAAGCAAACAAAGCAGAGTGAAGCCAGCAAGGAGGAGGCAAAGCTGACCTATGCCCCAGGTGATACCAGACCTGCAGTTTCCTTCTAAACTCACACTGCAACCAAAACAAAGGGAACACATGCTTTCCTTCATGTGATGTCTTCAAGCCAAAGATCAAATTCTCCAGGATCACCAGACTCTTGAAGTGTGCCTACTTTCATGTTTCCTTCCCCAGACAGGCGTCATGACCTCCTTTCCTTTCAAAGCAACACAGCTATTCCTCACTAATGTCCACAAAGTCTCTGTGAAAATAAAATAGAGCCACAGATATGAGGATATGAACCTTATTATGATCCCAAGCAGAGAAGTCTCCAGACATGCTGCTGGGGGAGAGTGATTTAGGAAGATTGAGGGATTAAAATCTCTCTGGAACAGTTAAATTCTTCATAAAGGGTTCTCTTTTCACACTTGTAGGTCAGTCCCTCACACTGGGAGAAAAAAGAAATTAGTTCTTATTAACTTAGGCTATTCTCCCTCAAGGTCAACACTGATGCATTCTTGTTAGTGTTCAGAACCTTGTTAATTGGTAATAGCATGGGGTCAAGTTGGATAGTGAAACCATGTTTTATTGCTGCAGGCATTCGTTACTGGCCTGTGGAGTGTTTTCTTGTGTGTACATTTTTTATTCTATAAGCACATCTTATTTCATAGACTTAATTTAAAGAGAAACAGACCTTACAAAGAATTTTTTTAACAATGTGAAGAAATGGAATTCCAATACGCAATATACCTTCTTAGAGATGACAGTTGCTTTCTTGAAATACTTGAAGGGACACTAGCCCACTCTAGCTAACACGTGGCTCCAAACAGACCCATTTCTGGGGGCTCCCGTATGGCAGACCCTGCCCTTCTCTCCCATTCCCTCTGCCTTGCTAAAATTTATTAGATTATATTCCTGAAGCTAGCCCCCAAGATCTAGTTTCTTATTTGACCAGTCCCTGCTCTTGAGGCTGTCCACCAAAGCAATGAAATACTGAATCAAGGTATTAAAGTTCAGCAATCAAAAGTCTCCTTTGGCTCACTTAATTAACTTGCCAAATTATAATTAACACCAACATGGGGTTTCCCATTTTACCTTGATAAACCGTCATTTGCATATGGGCCTTGTCTGCCTCCTCTATCAAGTGGCAGTCCTTTGTCCTCCAGGACAAATACCCCTGCCCCATTTCCCTTGCTCCCTTCCCCTTCTCTCTTGTCCTCTGTCTCTGATCTTTGTTTCTTATTCCCTGTTCTCTGTCCCTTTCGGGCAAATAAATCTCCTTTATGCTAAAAATTTGGTCTTGGGGGTCCTGAGCCAATACTTTGCTTTCAATACAAGAAGTAACACCCAAGGATGACTTGCCTTTCTGAAAAATGGCAGCATAAACAAGGGGCTTGGAAACTAATGTGGCAGGATCATTCTGCTTTTCTTAAGAGTTAAAGTTACAGCATACACAAAGCTCAAATGGAAAATACGGAAAATGCTTAGTTTCCTGAGACTTTTCTTTTTAACCTCATTATGCAGTGTGTACCCACAAAGTAAAACAAAATTTGTTTGAGTTAGACAAGCTGTGTAATTTTGGAAGGGAAGTTAGACAGATCCGGTTGTTTTATTTGCACATGCCCTGGATGTTCCCAGCTTTCTTTAAGTTCAGCTAAAAGTGTGAGCTATTTCCAGATCTCACACGCTTGTCATGAACACTCATTCTTACAAACAAGAACTCCTTCAGAAGTCTGATCGATCACTTTGTAACTCAACTGCAATAGGACTTAGGTGTGTGTGTGTGTGTGTGTGTGTGTGTGTGTGTGTGGTATATATTATTTTCAAGTTAATTAGGTTCAAGAAGTCATCGTTAAGTTTTCTTAAACCATTGCTCAAATCCACAAGATGTCAATGAGAAAGAACCTCAGTGCATGTATCTGGCAAATCTCGCTAACTACATGTAGACAGAAGGAGGCCATAGCCATCCTGTCGGGGCATTACCCTTTCATAATTCATCTTATATAGAGACGAAAGAGGCTCATAACTTCTGACAACCTTAAAAATGATCCATTGGAGGACAGTTTCATGTTTATCATTTTATTCAGTTCGGGTCACCCATTTAATCAGGGGAGTCTATAGGTCTTTTGATTGTCTGTTCAAAATCATTAGTTTCAAATTCAGTAATAATGAACATATGACCTAGTCCAACTGTCAAGCCGACGAAGAACTCAGTTAGCAACTATGAAAAAAGGCTTTCTAACAGACACTATATAATGTATTATTAATTTTTTGAGATGGAAGATTGGCTGATGTCACATTTGTGTTGCAACTCAGATTGGTCTCCAACTCATTGCAATCCTCCTGCCTCTACTTTTCCATGGAATTACAGGAATGTTCCACCTTTCCTGTCTTAATATCTGTTATTCTAAATCAGCGCATAATGTCAGAGTGCCGTAGCTGGAGTCAGGTAAGTCCTGGCACCATCTTCGCAAACTCATCAGCATTTAGTTGAACAGAGTTTTGAGGAGTGGTGTGTCGTATAAGCAGCTGCCCCGTTTCATTTGTGGAGAAAAGCTCAGCTTGGTTACAGAGTGTCTTGCTGCTCTGTTGTGTTTCAGGGGTCCTTATTTTTCCTGTATGTAGGCCACAGGGAAGATATCCACGAACAGGTCTCAGAGGAGAACGTTGGCAGCTGTCCTGCAGAAGCAAAGTGGCCACCGCTGAGAGTCCACAGCTCTGCTTAGCTAATGTGCACATCTATTGGTTGAATTTCCATTCTGAGGAGAAACCTATAAAAGACAGTAAGAAAATGATTCAGATTAAATTTTATTTTTCTTCTGGCTTAGGGATAAATAACATAAATTTCTGGGTTGACAAAAAAGAAGGAGAGATATTTTACTCATGATCTCTACACACACTTATTCAGAAGCCAAAAGGTGGATATAGACGGTCATCGTTTCAAGTACTAACATATGCTTATCACTGAGGCAATCATTTATGGTCTAATACTAATTATGAATGGAGAGGAACAGTCTACACTAGAATTCTCATTATCTCTGGCATTGCAGTGGCTTGGGCGTTTGCTTGTAAAAGTAAGTCATTTCTACTGTTATCAGTCAGTCCCAAGTCCCACCCCCTCCAAAGAAAAAGCACTTGCCAAGTGTTTCCCTAGTACCTGCCTGCAGTCTAGCAGTTGAGAGGCAGGAGGATGGTCTAGACCAACTGGCACTACGTAGCAATATTCTGTCACAAAAAAAATAAAGAATAGATAAAATGGTGCTGACAGTATTATAAACGCCACAGAAAATGCCATAATTCATAACATTTGTTAGTGCAGTACAAAGACCAAGATAAAAGTGTTGACCTAGTTTCACAGGCTTTGAATAGAACAGCAGAAGTGAGCATGACGAAGTAGATAGAACCAGGGGTTTACACGTGGCGACAGGAAAGAGGAATAAAGATGATGTCATTAAAGAAAGACAAGAACCTGCACCCAGTAACTGTTGGAAACAGATGCAGTGGTCCACAGCCAAGCACTGGGCTGAGCTACTGGAGTCCAGTTGAAGAGAGAGAGGAGGGATCATATAAGCAAAAAGGCTCAAGATCATGTTGGGGAAAACCACAGAGACAGCCAGTCTGAGTTAGTGGGAGCTCACGGACTCTGGACTGACAGCTGGGGAACCTGCATGGGACTGAAGTAGGTCTTCTGAATGTGGGTGACAGTTATGTGGCTTTGTCCATTTGAGGGACCCTGGCAGTGGGACCAGGATTTATTCTGGATGCATGAACTGGATTTTGGGAGCCCATTCTCTATGGTGGGATACCTTGCCCAGTCTTGTTACAAGTGTGGCAGGGCGGTGGTGGAACACTTGGTCCAGCTTCATCTTGCTATGCTAGACTTTGTTTCCTCCCCAAGGGAGGCCTTACCCCCGCTAAGGAGTGGATAAGGTTGGGATGGGGGAAGTAAGGCGACAGGAGAAGAGGAGGTACCCACTGGGGTTGGTATGTAAAATAAAAAAATATTAAAAAAGCAAATGTCTCATTTATTTATGATAACATAAATGTATTGAATATTTATATTTGATATCCTGCTTTTGGAATATCGAAGACACGAGAATCTAACATCTTTGTAAATAACAAGCAAAAGACTGTGAAGAAAAGGTCAGCTTTTTCCATCTAAAGAAACATCTCTTTGAAACAGATAAAAATCTTTGCAGAAGACCTCAACCAATCAAAATGCAGAGAACAAGTGATGATGTGGTACCTGGTTCCTGTATCTAGGATTTAGTGATCCTAGCAGAAGAGGGGGTGGAAAAGCATGTAAGAGTCAGCGGAACAGTGAGTTTTCTGTGAGACTGTGTCCTAGAAATATCAGAGGTTATCCCCATGAAGTCTCATCAGATGGTTGCCTAAAATTGACCTGAACAAAGATGATACCAATGCCAGGCTACCATAGAAGGAGGAAAGTTCATGGAGCCACAACTCTAGGCAAAGAACTATAGGCAACAAAGGTATGCTGAGAATGGGAGAAATAGCCTTCTCCAGAAAAAAACCCCCAATAGGTTTTCTGATACCAAATGGTCAGCCTTGAAATCATATAAAATGATTAGCATGATATAGACTTAGCAGGTTATATTTATATATTTGGAAATATATAAACAATATATTATATATAAATATATATTCCTAAACATATGAATACATTTACATATTTATAAATTACTGTTATATATTATACACAGAGGAAGATGTAACAACGGTTAAAAATATAGGCCATGAATTTGAAAGGAAATGAGAGGGTACATGGGAAAAATTAAAAAGAGGAAAAGGAGAAGAGGAAATGATGTATTTATATCCTAATTTTTCAAAAAGATTTAGAAACAGGTTTCAGAAAAGTGTGGCCATAATAAAGAAGCTAATGGAAAAGGTGCCATTTTAGCGAGGAGGAGTGAGTGATTATACACTCCTTCAGAAAGAGGATGCAGAAATGTTATTATTACACACTCCGTAATGAGGAACAAGATACATGTGGCTATATGATATCACAACATTTCTTATTAAAGTAAATCATAATAATGAAGAAATCAAAATTAGAAGCTCTCTGTACATTGAGAAGATAAATAACTTTAACACTGAAGCATAGTTTACCCATGTAACTGGGAGTGTTAGGACCAAATACACTAATGGCTCCTGGCTGCAGGTGCCTTTTGTCATTTGGCCAGAGCTTTTGTGAGCTAGGTAGAGCTAAAATTTTTATCATCTTGCTTTGGAAAGTGGATGCGTCCATGAAATAAGGCACAGCATAATAGGAATTTGAAAAAAAAAGTCAAACCTTTTTTTTTCCTGAAGGGAAGGAAGAGTTTTCCCCAAACCTAGTCAAGTTTTCCCAAACCTCCTTCCCATTTGAGGTGCAATAATATACATATTGCTTTCTTTTCAAAAAGTCTTTAGTTTCTACTTAAGAGAATATGAGCAATTTGCTAATCTAAGTAACTAATTATATGTCATACCATTTATCCATCTGTCTGCCTTTATCATCAGTTTATATTCTGTCATATATTATCGATTACCTATCATCTGTCTATAGTATCTATTAGTTACTTATTGTTCATGTATTTATTATCTCTCCATCTATTACCAACTATCATTTATCATCACATCTATCTACCATCTACCTGTTATTTATCATCTATTTACTGTTCATCTATTATCAAGCATCTACCAATCACCTATCATCATATCTATTACTAACACACCTATCATCTATTACCTTTCATGTAGCTATCTAATCCTGTGTATCTGTCAATATATCTGTCATCTTCACCTCTTTATCTACATATCAATCTAAAATCTATCAGCTATCTATACACTATATATCACCTATCACCTCCTATCAATGATCTATTATCTATCTTTCTAATATCTATCTTTCATCTATCTGTATGTATCATGTATCTGCCCATCTACTATCTATCAATTTATAATATGTCTATCCATCTGACATATACCTATCACCTATATATTCTCCATCATCTACCATTCACCCATACATCCATCTTCTGTCATACAGTATCTTTTAATCCATTCTCTATCCACCTATCATCTATTAATCCATTATCTATTCACCTATCACCTATTTATCATCTGTCTATTATATATAATCACTATCTGTATTTATTCATCTACTGGGTGCATGTATGTAGTTGTTTACAATCAATGTTTAAAGAGGAATATATTTCTTACTTTTGTATTTATATATACTTAAATATTTCTTTAGCAAATTCACTACATTTATTGATAAGTCGAACTTTTGATAGATTTTCTATTTTAATTACTAGTAGAATAATAAAATATATTTTATAAGGAAAACTATCCCCAATAATATATCTGGTGCCTGTCTTTTGAGGTTCTTATGTAGTCTATTTGCAAGGTTCCTCTCCTTGTCAGATATCCTGCCATAAATGATAACTGTGGGGGGCTAGCTTTATGTAGATTTGAATATGAGGAGAAAGGTTTCTTTTACTGAGTGACTACTTTCACACCAGGGCCCTACAATGTGGGAAGAACTCATCCAGTTACCAATACAGAAAGAAATTATGCTTAATAAATGATTAATACACTGTTGGGATATTTGAGAATGAATCCCACTAGGGAAAGGGAGAACGCTATAGCTTCACAAGGGTTTTACAGAAATGACAGTGACTATTCAAAAGACAGGTATTCCTGAAGCTCTGTAAATTGGGTTCTGTAGGAGGAGGCTGTTTGTTTGTCCCATCCACCCAAAACCAAAATAACCACACAGATGCCATGCCATATTATTTAAAACACTGCTTGGCCTATTAGCTCTCACTTCTTATTGGCTAACTCTTATATCTTAATTTAACCCATCTCCATTAATCTGTGCATCAGCACAAGGTCGTGGCATACCAGCAAATTTCAACTTGTCTATCTCCAGCAGCAGCTCCATGGCTTCTCTGTGACTCCACCTCCTTTCTCCCAGCATTCAGTTTATTTTTCCCCACCTAGCCCTGTTCCCCTATAGCTCTGCTATAGGCCCAAAGCAGTTCCTTTATTAACCAATGATATTCACAGCATAGAGAGGGGAATCCCACATCAGGTTTCCTCACTGGGTTCCTCCCATGAGTTTAGTCTAGAGACCAGTCAGCTGTACTTTTACTGTATAGTCCTATGGGCTTGTAGTACCAAACAAATCCCTGATACACAAATGTGGACCCCAAAGACCCTGTCTAAATGTCTCTAAACCTTCTTCAGGATACATTCAGTCTCTGCAAAACTCAGGGTCCTGCAGGAGACATTGTCTGTGGGGTGGTGAAGGTTGGAGGGAGAAATCAGATTGTGCCAGATGCACTCTCTTAAAACCCACAGGTAAGAGCATTATGGTAGCCTAGAGGGTACCTGTGGGCTCATGCCAAGGCAGAGAACTGACTTAGAAAGAACATACTAAATCTGCTCTGGCTCATCCCAGGAATGTTTATCAAGGTGAAGAAAGGACTATAACAGTTTCTAAGCACAGTTTATAAAAAAGTGTGCAGCTCTCTATTTGTTCTTGAACCTGACAATGATTGTTTCAAAATTCTACTGGTACTGAACTTTCACCATTCATCACTTATTTCCCTTTTGCAATGTATGAAGCATTTCCAGGTAATATGGCAGCCTACAGGAATCTCTACGTGACCCAGTGAAGGGAAAGAGTCAAACTGAGAGACAAAATGACTCTCTTCAAAAACAGAGAGTTGAAAGTTCACAAAGGTAGTAATAGGATATTTTT